GTTTTTAAATTTAGGCAACAAAAATCACTTTAATATCCTAAGGCTTTTAAAAGCTTCACATCTTGATTTTATAGTTAATCTCCTTCGCCTGCCACAGTCGATATTTTCAAAAATCCATTTTTGATGTTTTTCCTGCCGCCAGTCAAGGCGTCCCACTCAATGACCATTGACCAAGGCCACTGGTGGAAAAAAAATCTTTGGAAATGAAGTTAGATTATTCTGAGTTTCCGTACAATCAGATGGGATGATAAGGTGTGTATTTGTATTTGTCAAGAGCTGGAGACTGGAAACTGTAAACTGTAAACAATCTATACAGTTCTATTGTTGTATCTTGCCTTGGAAGTCAAACGAAACCAAGCTCCGTAGTGTGGTGATGCAGGTTTCGGACCTGGTTCAAGCTGATCTTATCTTTAGCTTTGAGGAGGGTAAGATTGATTCCGTAAGTGAACAAGCTTTCTTATAAAAATATGATTATGATCTCTAGATTCTAGATCTCTAGATTGTAGATCTAATCTAGATCTAGATTCTAGATATTATAGATCTATTATTAATCGTTCCCTTCACAAGTCTTCACAAAGTACAGTAGACTTAGACTTCAGTAGACAAGAGTTAGTAGAATAGTAGAACATCTAGACTAGATATCTAGATCTAAATGTAAATCTTGTAACATACTGGCTTTAAAGTCTAAAGTTTAGACCTTCCATACTGATTTTGATGGCCATTGATATTCATCGAGTTCAGAGTAGTCCCTTATTAATTGTTACGGAAGTCCTCCCCGGGAATTAAACGCGAGAAAGTAAATTACCATTACCGATACTACGTCTTGACCTCAGACAACGAAAAAACAGCTGCAAAAGCTGGGTGACGCCTTTAATTTACATTTATGTTTTAACTTTACGATATCAAGATCTATCATGGATGAATAGCTGTAAGGCCTACTGTTGTAGATCTTATATATACAAATCGCAACAGAACCTAGAAATCTAGTTAGATCTAGATTCTAGAGAAACTTCCTTTCAGCCAACTAGCATGTAGGAATGTAAGCCCTAAATTCTGTGTAAAACGGCCACCCATTGTGTCAAGGAGAAAAGTGGCCATAATACACATGTGTATGAATGTGGCCGTCTTAGTCTTAGGCAGGCTGGTCAAAATGAAGAAAGCAAGCCATTCTCGTCTAAGGTCCAAACTGGGACTGATCTCAGGCTTTGGACAGTTGTCAGTGTAAGGCAAATTCAAATGAGTTTTTGTTTTCTTTTGAATAAGGGGGGTGGATGGAGTAAGGTTTTTGTTATTGCTTTTACAGTGTTGTCAATGTTGTTGTTTTTTTGTGGGTTTGTTTTTGGCTAGCTAGCTTTTTTTATTGCTGATTTTGTGCTAGGATAAAATCGAAGTATTATGTAAGACGATGATGACCGAGTGCCATGGTAAAACAAACACACAGGTCGCCACCACTCAGAGAACGCTTCTGTTGTAAGTTCACGTCAACATCTATTGTCACTTTGTTCCAGATTAGATATTACACAGTGACCAGTCACCTCACATATATGATTTGTGCATGACTTGTAGGTAGCTGGGCTTATAGGTTATGACGGATTACACGCTTCCCTCACCAGCAGTTGAAAATTTATTTTTAGGCCTACCCATTGGTCAACTTGGGTGAAACATTCATTCGAGGGACTAACAATAACGACATATGAATGGATTACAGTGAAACTCGGATTTAACGAGCTCGGATTCAACGAGAACTTGGATTCAACGAGATGAGATAGATTCCCCGTTTTTTTTCTTCTTTAAAATCAATAAAAAATAACCCGGATTCAACGAGCACTTAAATCAGCGAGCTCGGATTCAACGAGGTCACTGCCAGGGTGAACTGCCCCCGCAGACGTGGCTTCGCCCATTTTTCTCCCAGAACGAACTTTATCTATTCCTGGAAACCATTCATTGCAACTGCATTGTGAACCAGTATTCACTTACCCGATTGCATGTGACCAATCAGCGGCCTTTTTTTTCATACCAACACGTGCGTTGTTGGCTCACGCATGTGTCTACTCTGACGTGTGTCGGAGTCGGATGGGCGGCCTGCACCCGTGTAGTTGTGTGTGCGTGGCGGGGAGGGGGGGGGCACTAGCGGTCCGGGCGTTGAACGTCGCAGATACAAACGGTAAACGTGTCAAAGTCTTTTTTCTTTTTTTCCCCTCGGCAACTGATCATTATTACAATGATAAACTAGTCTTTGCGTAGATCTTCATAAGGAATTGTGCGCTTGTCTATGAAATCAAAAGTTGCCATTATGCTAGGATCTACTCTGCAACACAACTTTGTGGTGAACAATTGAGATGACACAGGAATGCATTTGAAGGAATCTGTCTTTTTTTTTTTACGCAACTCATAATATGCGGGCATTTCAGGCACTATTTGTGACTTCTCTTTATACATTACTTGCTCAGTGCCTGTAATTATCTACACAAAACCTCATGTTCGCTATAACGAACACTTGGATTCAACGAGATTTTAGGTCAGGCCCGGCGACCTTGTTGAATCCGAGTTCCACTGTATAACATGATGGCTCGTCCACAGCGTTAGGGGCCCATTCAAAATTTGTGACAAAGCATTGGACAATGAGTGACCACGCCTGGTCGCCTCAGGCAGGTAAATTTGAACGTAGGTTGATCAAATAAGGTGGCCGTGGAACTTTGGACAGGCGACCGTTTTACACAGTTGAAAGTTCACGGCGTCCAAAATTCTGTCTCAGCGATCTTTTAGCTAGTCCGGGCCCCCCGCGCTAGGCCATAAATCACCAGCAGGTGATCTGCAATTTCACGTGTCAGGTCGGGGATTGACCGTGGTCAACTTGTGCACAGCGCTGTCCTATCTTGTCCTTATGAGAACGCGTTTCTTCCTCTAATTTCATGAGCCGTAAAATACCCCTAGAATCTACTTCTTCACCAATTTCGCTTCGTCTACGTCTTCTTGGTATCTTGTGAAAGTTTCAACAGTTTTCACTTATTCGTTTGGGAATAATAACAGTTTTAAATTGTGAGTGTAAAGTAATTGGAAGCGCCGTTAATATTGTGATCTCTTCAAATTTAATTACAAATCATTCCAAAATGAAACATTGGTGTTTATTTCTGTTTGCGCGGTGTGATAGCCAACAAATCATATTTTCTAATGATGTGAATTTTGTTTTTCCAGCACTTTGCAGTGACTGGCAATCAGTTAGTCAATTGTGTTCCTAAGTAAAAATTGTTAAACTGCAATGGGTCAGTCACACAATATGAGAGGCATAGAGAGTCTCTGAATGAACTTTGTCGGGTGCGTTAGCGTTTAAATTTAACTGTCAAACAAAAAAAAGTACAGAAAGCCCCGATTATGTAAGACAATGTCAGGAGATATTCTCTTGATTTGTGGGATTGATGTGTAGAAGGACGAAGATGAACAGTCGTATTCCGCTAACAATTGTGTCAAGTGTTTTACTGCAATTTCAAATATCAAAAGGAGATATGATGTTACGTCACGTCAATTCATGCCGCAAAAAAGCTGTTGACGCTAGTAGGAACATGTAGTGTGTGTTTGACAATAACATACATGTGAATTCTTGCTCCGCTTGTCGGTATCGTTTGGGTGGCTGCATACAAATATCTATTTCAAGCAAACATCGCAACACACCCCAAGCATACCTCCATCCCCATTTGTACAAGGAACTAACAAACACAATTTGTACAGAAACAAGAAAATACTCCCGCGAAACTGCAAAAATTGAGGAAGCAAGTGGACTGGAAGCAATATTCAATCTTCTCAAAGAAAGATTTAGCCATGTTCACCCTGCAATATCACATCTCAAACCAGTCAAACAATTTTCACGTCCAGAAATCCTCGTAGCAATCGACAATTACATGGCCGCATTCAGACGCTATTTCCCCGCAAAGTTATCCCAAAGCAACACATATCATAGCAACACTGTATTCCACACATACAACAACACATGTTTGTTCTCAGGCTTTTGGGAGAACAGGACACAGAAAGCAGCCACTAGGCGATCTCAAAACTGGAAGACGGAGCACGAAGGATCCCAAACCAGGTAGACATAAAGCGTTTTATTTTTGTGTCGCATCTCCTGCAAATAGCACCCTCATTGCATGCTGCTGGATAGGTTTAGAAAGAAAAATTGTATTATTCTTTTATTCTGTACATTTTCATTTTGTTAAAATGAATTGGTACTGTATATTGAAGATACGTCAGTATATCATTATTCAGGAGGATACACATTCCATTGGATACAAAAAGTCATGAATGCAAGGAAGCTTTTTGGCTATCATGCTCATGACAAGTTCCATGTTCATGCTGGAAACAAAATTTTGAGCGAGTCAATTTCTAAACACATTTTCCTGTCTTACGTGGCAGTTTTGTAAATATTTATCGTTAGGCTTATAAGTTATTAGCGACTTAATATGTGTTGGTTTTTTTTACTAACTATAAATAGACATACATTTAAGAGCATATAACTCCATAACGTGAGAAGCCATGGTATTGCTATTTCGTACCAATAAAGAAGTTAAGTTGCTTTCTCTAAAGGACAAACTTGTGTTCACGTATGATATTTTTTGTTTTTGTAAGACGATAAAACATGTGTTGAAATATTCATTTCACCGGCTACCGACGCAGGTAGCGGGAGGTCGGGTGAGTGACCTCTGTGTGACTGGCCCGCCGTGACTCGGTCACTCTATCGCCGAGCCAACTAAAAGAGCGCTTTTTGTACGCCGTGAGTTATATTGTATAGAAAACATGCAAGGGGGGAAATAAAAAGTGGCTGTTTGTACAGGTGGCCGTATTATACAGGTGGTCGTCATGGCAGGTTCGACTGTATGAGGTCATGTTTAAAATATATTGGGCTAATAACTAAAAAAAAATGCATAAACATTTTTAGGGTAGTCTCTGATTTTGTGGTCAGGGATATGTGTAAGGTAGCAGGGTGAGGCAAAGGCTAAAGGGGTTGGAGTTAACTACAGTGGAAACTATAACAGGCTCAGTAATAACCTGGATCCGGTAATAACAGGGATTTTTTAAATCCCTGTTTTTTCAGGGTCTCTCTCTTTGTCTCTGTTAAAAGTTATCAGCAATAACATGGTCTCATTGGAGCCCAATCGATTATAGCAGGGACAAAGGCTCATTAACAATTTGTAAAAAGTAAGAGAGAGAGAAAGAGAGAGAGAAAGAGAGAGAGAGAGAGAGAGAGAGAGAGAGAGAGAGACGATGTGCTGCAGACTTTGATCTAGCCGTTAGCATTGCTACACCCATATGCAATGTGCCATGTGCAGGGTACTTGTGGCAAGGGAAACTACCCTTGAATAAATACAGCTGGATAAGTCCGCAAATGCCTACCTCCCAGCCTTAAATTTCTGATTTAACAGGGATCTGGTACAACAGGACTTTTCGTCTGGTCCCACCATCCCTGATATATCAGGTTTCCACTTTTCTACTTTTTTAGTGAGATGAGCAAACTAACTCTGCTCACTAAAGCTCAGCAGGCCCTCCATAGTTTGGCCTAATACCATATAGAAAAGTGAAAGTAGACAGAGACTTACTTAAACCTGAGTAATACTAATATGTTGCTACAAGTAAACTGGAATCTGATAATCTCCTTGCGCAGTTGGAACATGGATGCCCTGTTGTGATTTCTTCTTTCCTATCAAACATCTATCGTCCTGGTCTCTCCTTCTTTTTTGTGTTTGTTACTCCCTTGTAACACCATTAATCTTAGGCACCTATATGACTTTGTGTTGCATAGATAATCTTGACACAGGAATCTGCTGATCGTAATTTGACAAAGGAGATAAGATTAAGGTGCCTGCTTTTAAAACTCTACACATAGTACGGATTAAAAAGTTCTTTTAGTTTTAATATTCTCTACAAATTGCATTGCAGACTGCAGAAATTTGACTCTGGAGATCAGGCATGCTATGCTTTACAACTGAACTGACAGTAGAATTAGTTGGTTCGAGCTCGGTCTCAAAGTTAGGACAGTCACTTGAGTCACATATAAGCAGGCCAGAAGAAACAGTAGAGACACTGTGGAGCTGCCAGCACTTTGTATGAAGTTTGAATTTGATTATAAATTCCGCTTCTTCCAGGATCGAAAGTGGAGCCCCCCTGCTCACACACATACACACATACACACACACACACACACACACACATACACACACACACACACACACACACACACACACACACACACACACACACACACACACACACACACACACACACAACCGTCCCCCTTTAAATCTGCCGAGACATATCTCCGTCTTGAAATCTCAATTATCATAGAATACTGTGATGTATTGTTAAGAGAGAGTAACTGTGTGGTTGTGATCGTTATATTATGCGAGTTCTGTCCTGTATATATCTGTGTGGATCACTTGACCATTAAGATGTGTTTTTCACATGATCACTCACGAATCACGGCAGTTCAGTTCAGAATAAACTCTTGAGCAAGTAGCACGTATCATGTTAAAGATACAGTGGAGTCCACTTATAATGAGTCCGGAAAAAACGAGAGAAGTCTGAAGTCTGTTATAAAGACGCTATTCTAAAACCCCGTTTTTTCTCCTCTTTACCTTTGTAAACAAAATACTGCTATAGCGCTATCAGACACACTTGCGAGTCGGTTATAGTGGAATATTACTTCTGCTGTGCACAGTGCATAGGCCAATTATACAAAATGTAAAACCTCGCCAGTTGAGAAACTTGTTGTTGATCTAGCGAAACAAAGAGTGGGAGAGCCCATGTGTGTCAACAATGAAGTTAATGAAGGCCGGAGCGACTGAGTAGGGAGGGTGTGGCATGCGCAGACAAGCTGAACGCATCGTGTGATAGGCCAGCGTAAGCCTAGTTTAGATTATCAAGGCCTACCATGCCTCTCACTTCTCCGATGCGGGGATGGAGAGGTCACAGCAATGTGATGGATGAAGTGAATGTGTGACGTGCGCAAGCAGACAGAATGCACCACAGGGAGGGGTGGGATGGGGGAAAACACAGCGGGGTGAATTAGCCCAGAGTCCTTTCTTTCTCTGATCACCAACGCCGAGCTGTCAATTGTCAGTCAACATTGCTAGATCTAGCGCTAGAGAAAGAAACCTGATTCGATTTTTGATCAAGTAAAACCTCGAGGTCACGTTGAAACAAAATCATCATCAGGGGAGATAGCAAAAGGAAATAAACAGAACACAAAACTCATAGATTAGGCCTACTTTACAGTTTCCCTTGAATTTATTACTAGATCCCTTAAAGCGAGAATCCTGCTATAACGGTCAGTTTGCTCCGGTCCCCTCCCTCTCGTTATAACAGGATTCTACTGTACTATAAATACGAATTTTCCTGCTCCCCACTTCCAAGCATTACTTTTCAAAAGTTGTTATATTTAGTATATTTTGATTTAGTGCTTTCTTTGACTTGTGGATTGCCCTCCTTGCTAGCACCAATCAATTTGATCATTATGTCTTTATAATATGTAATATTATATAAAGAAAGACTGAATGGGAAGAGCCATGTAGCAGGGAGTCGAATGGTTATGACAGAATTATGTTGAAACTGCAATGCACTGATAGGTTGCACCTGTTAGAGGTCAAATTAGAATCTGTTGTGTGTATGTTACTTTTATTTCTTCTAAGACTGTACTCCTCTTCCATCATACTTTTCTCGTTCCCCTTAACTCTTATTATCAGAATTCAGAAGATGCTCTATCCTTAGTTTTTAATTTTTTAAAATTAAATTTAAAAAATGTTATTGTCACCTTTGTAATCAGACCACTAACCCCAGCGGAGTAAATTTCAACATATGAAGCAAAGAGCAAAATTTGGTTTCATCATGTAGCAACTTGGCAGCGTGTGGGTTTTTCTGCTTTAGGAGCATTTCTAGACAGAATTCAGACCTATCGTTGACTAAGCATAAAAATGGTTAATTAGTATAGCTTGGTCAAAGTTTTAAAATATTCACTTTTTATGGTTTAGCTAGTCTTACCAGCGAAGGTATATTCTTTTGATATTTTTTTTGTTACTCCGAGGGTGAAGGGTGGGATGAAATTTTTTTTCCTTTTTTACACACTTCTAATATTTTTCCTTTTTTTTCTTTTGACACAAATCAACAGAGGAAAAAGGTGCTCATTTGCTTCAGGGTATACACAATGAAAGATGGGTGATGAAACAGAACAAGAGCTGCTACTTCGATCATGGAAGGATGCTTTTCACAGAGCTGCTGATTTTGATGGTTGGGGCCAGCCTGTAGAGGCTGTTGATGTATATCAAAGGTAAAACAAAATTCCGAAAGGATAGTGTGTATTTTGTAACTCATTAAAAATGTATTTTAAGTTTGATATGAAATGATCTCATGTTATTCACCTTTGGAAAATCTTATACTTTAGATTATACTTTATGCTTTAGAAACATTGTAACCTGGACTAGTGAAATAGATGAATGACGGTTAATTTTAACTGTGTCTTACAGAGGATCATTTTCTAGATTTTTATGTTCACTTTTGCAATAACAAGATGCTTTTTTGAGATTGTGTTTTTAACACTTTGTGGTCACTTGGCACAATAATGCGCCTGAGAAAATTATCCGTTCCGGTCACTCTGTGCCAGGCCCTAGAAATCTGTTGCAGACACTTTCCTGTCTGGGTGACTAGATTGGGTATTTTGTACTGCTGGCTGTGTGACTGCAAAATGTTTATTTTTCAAAAACAAAATACTCGTAGTTGAGATATATATAGCTATGCTTTCTGAGATATATTACTTTTTCTCTAAGTGGTAAATGTGTTCATGTTCTCTGACCCAAAGACAAGTGCTCACATGTGATTTAAAATGCATGTCTCTTTTGGAGCAGTGGGAAATGAGAAACTATGCTAACAACATAATTTAAGAGTGCATAAACAACATAATACTCATAAAACCTCATCATCATTGAAATATAAGCTTCTTAACAACTGACTTTTGTAAGTTGAATTCTTAACCAATGGTGCTGATAAATCAGGAATGCAACAGTTTCTTTCGTATCTAAGTTATTTTTGTATCTCCTTTTTTTGTTGTCTGTATTAAAACTACAGTGAACCTGCCCTGACGGCCACCTCTATAAGACGGCCACCTGTACAAACGGCCACCTGTACAAACGGCCACTTTCCATTTCCCCCCTTGCGTTTTTTCTATATAATTTAACTGTGTAAAACGGGCATCTGTCCAACGCGGCCGCGACCACCATATTTTAACACACAATCCCTATCACACTAAGCAATAACACCTGTCTTAGACGGCCACCTTAGTGAC